TTTATCAGCACACGAAACTTTTAGCTACTCTTTTTTTTTCACACAGGACACTTTCAAGTGGTAAAGGTATTCACAAGTGGTAAAGTTATTCTTTTACTATTTTGTTTAACATAGATAACTCACCCTAGATAGGTAGTTATTTGAAAGTATATTTTAAAGTAAAAATAGCAGCTGCTTTCGTTATTAAGTTTTAAAAGCCCATTACATTTGCTAAATGATCAGCTAAGATATAACACACTGGAGATGTTTTTAGGAAATTATAAAATATAAACATGTTAACTCAAAAACTGCCAAATGTGTTTTTCTTATTTCTCTGAATTAATCTGCTTTTAAAAGAAATATGAGCTATTGTAATATTTAAAATAAATTACCAAAAGGAAACGTGGAATTAAAACTATTAATCTGGGCACCTAAGTGGAAGAAATATTGCTAATGAGAGCTTGGATGTTATACACTTTAATCACAGACATGAAATGTCAACCATCTCTCAGCAAAAAACTACACTATTTGTGATGCTTAAGTTCCTATTTTCAGAACTGTGAGGGTGTTTCCTGACTTCAGTTCTCACAACATCTGAGACAATAGGTGAGAAATGAGAAATGGGAGTGACAGGAGGGAGTGACACACACAAGACCAAAAGAAGTGTGCTAGAGAGTAGGCCAGCATGGCAGAACAAGGATTATTTCCTCCCAGGGACATTAAAATAAGTGAGATAAGATCAATAAATAGTCCTTATGCTATATAATGATCTGCCAACGGAATCCTCTGTGATGGGAGAAAACAGGCTCTTTCAGAGACTTAGGGCTCTCCTGGAAAAGAAGAGATGGTGGTTAACAGAAGCACCAGAATAAGAACCGGGTCAGAGCCTCCTTTGGGTTTTTACAAAGTTTACGAGCAGAGCTTTTAAATGGATCCATTCACCTTGACCTGTATTCATCAGAGACACTAGATATCAAATTAGAAGCTTCCCCCCGGACTTCCACAGCCTAGCAGGACCTGGCAGGGACTGGCTGGGTGGCTGAGAAGGTATTTAGTCTCACTGTAATGTCTTGTCACTGAACATAGCGCCTCAGAACAGAAGTTCTCTTTCTTTGCCATCCCCACAGCAGCCTCAATTGCTGCTCTATGCAATCTTACTTAAATGGCATAAATGGCCACTCTCCCTGTGTGGTCCCCTCCTTGTAGCAATTCCCTGACATGTATGCAGTCCATCGCACCATGTTCTATTCCAGGGTGGGGAAACCTCAATCACTTTGAGTCATTTTATTTCATTTTACTTTTATTACTTAAAACAAAATTTTAAGGGGCGCCTGGGTGGCGCAGTCGGTTAAGCGTCCGACTTCAGCCAGGTCACGATCTCACGGTCCGTGAGTTCGAGCCCCGCGTCGGGCTCTGGGCTGATGGCTCAGAGCCTGGAGCCTGTTTCCGATTCTGTGTCTCCCTCTCTCTCTGCCCCTCCCCCGTTCATGCTCTGTCTCTCTCTGTCCCAAAAATAAATAAACGTTGAAAAAAAAAAATTAAAAAAAAAAAAACACAAAATTTTAAGTTTACTTATTTTGAGAGAGACAGAGACAGCACAAGTGGGGGAGGGGCAGAGAGAGAGAGAGGGAGAGAGAGAAACCCAAGCAGGCTCTGTGATGTCAGCATGGAGCCCAGCACGGGGTTTGAACCCATGAACTATGAGATCATGACCTGAGCCGAAATCAAGAGTCAGAGGCTTAACCGAATGAGCTCCCCAGGCTCCCCATTTTGAGTCATTTTAAAATGGAGTCTTTAGTTCTGGGTCTCCACAGCAGCCAGAAAACTTGCTCAGAAAGAGACTGTATGTGCTAATAAGCAAACCAAATGCTTCAAAGCAGTATCATCAGTCCTCTCCAGCCTGCTTTTCCTGCTTCTGTAGAGAGAGGCCAGTCACCACCTTTCTATTTCAGTCACACTATGGTTCTGTGGGAACTGTCATTTTCCTTTACTGCGGTTTCCAAGCCCTAAAATAACCTTCTCATTAGCTTCACTCAAGTTCATTGTTAACATAAATAGGCCAAAATAGGCAGCCTCAGTACCGAGCACTTTAAGGGAACATTATCAGCACTGCTCATCTATTTATGTCCTAAACAAATATTCAAGAGAGCATGAAAAAAATTCTTGGTTTTTCATATCAGGAAATATACTGTAGATAATTTTTAACTTCCTGGAAACGAATTAAGATGACTGATAACTTTTAATTCTGTTTAGGCTTGACTCTCTCTGTCACATCCAGGTGGCCACTAGCAGAAGCTTGAGTAATGTGGAAAATATGTCTGTGCAGCTGCTGGCAAAGAAGCAAAATTATACTTCCTCAGAAACAGTGTGACAGAGTTCCTGCAAAGGAATGCAATGTTGGCTGATTTGTAAGCAGAACTGCCACTGGTATGCACCCTCAAATCCAGCCCCAACACTCCCTGGCTATATCCCACTCTGGGACTGCATGGCTGGAGCTCATAAAAATAGAATGGTTCCATCGTGGATCAGGTGCTCTTCTATCCTGCCCACCCTCCAGGACATATTCATGCTTAAGATACGGAAGGAGAACTAGCTCTAAGGAGTACCAAACAGTGCCAGAGGATAAAGTAAGTCATTAATGGTGGCAGAGAATAAGATACGGAAGAAATGCCCCCTTCACTGGTTAAAAGCTGTCTCATTAGCTCAGTTTTCAAACCTTAGCTACAATTGTATACTAAAGTCACTAGAATAATAGTTGACTATTGGTGAGATTAGTGATTTTCACTATGTTTGGCTTGCACAGAGGAATTAAAACATCTTTCCCTGGGGGGTTTCAGAACATAGGATTGATCTGGAAACCAAATTCTATCTCAGGAGTTGGCAAACTTTTCTGTAAAGGGTCGGACAGTAAGTAGTCTTTGTGGGCTGTGTACAGTCTCTATTACAACTATTCAGCTCTGTATATATATCTCAAAAGCAGCCATAGACAATATGTAAATAAATGATTATGTCTGTGTTCCAATAAAACTTTATTTATAAAAACCGGCAGTACACTGGATTTGCCCCTGGCCATAGTCTGCTGACACTTGCTCCATCTAACAGGTACTCTGATACTGCTACAAGAATGATTGAGAAATCATCATGACCAAAACCAAGCTGTTCTGGCAAAATTAGTCTAGGGTATTAGAAGCCAGAATAGTGGTTGCTCTTTGTGGAGTCGGAGGGGTTGGAAAAGTATTATTATTCGTTCAGAAAATGAGGAAGTAATGGGGTTAATGGTAATAATCTGTTTCTTGACGTGGATATTGGTGAAATTCAATGAGCTTTGGGACAATTCATTTAAGAGTTGTGAAAATTTCTCTATGTATTTGGTACTTCAAACAATTTTTTTTTTTTTTTTTTTTTTTTTTTTTTTAAAGAAAGAACGAACCTGTTTGAAAGGAGAAATCACTTTAGGAAAAACAAGGTAGAAAGTCTTATCTCGAGAGTACATGGGTTGGTCAAAGTGTATATGGGTTCCTAGCTATGAAGTGAGAATGACACAGACCAAGTTTTTTCTAGTGTGCTTTAAAAAAAATGTGGTAAAAAACACATCACATAAAATTTATCATCTTAACAATTTTTTAGTGTACAGTCCAGCAGTGTTAAGTATATTCACTTTGTTGTGAAACAGAGGTTCAGAACTTTTTCATCTTGCAAATCTGAAACTCTGTATGTTTTAAAACAACAACTCTGTGTTTCCTCCTCCCCCCAGCCCCTGGTAACCACCATTCTACTTTTCGTTTTTATGAATTTGACTACTTAAGGTATCTCATATAAGTGGAATTATATAGTATTTGCCTTTTTTGTGACTGACTTATTTCACTTAGCATAATATTCTCAAGGTTCATCCATGTTGTAGCATGTGGTGGGATTTTCTTCCTTTCCGAGGCTGAGTAATATCCTCTTGTGTGTATACCACATTTTGTTTATCCATTTAACCGTCGAGGGACATGTGGATTGCTTCTACCGTTTGCCTATTGTGACTAGTGTTGCTATGAACATGGATGTGTGAATATACCTTTAAAACCCTGTTTTCAATTTTTGGCTATATATCTAGAGGTGGGATTGCTAGATCATATGGTACTTCCATTTTTAACTTTCTAAAGAACTTCTATACTGTTTTCCATAGAGGTGGCACCATTTTACAGTTTCACCAATTGCACAGTGCATAAGGGTTCCATTTCTCCACATCCTTACCAATGCTTGTTATTTTCTGTTTTTGTAACAGTAGCATTAGCCAATTTTTTTAGAAGCCAGATTCGAAGGTTGGCAAGGTCTTACCTCAATTAAACTCTGAATATCAAAAGGCCTCCAAGAAAAGTACCTTGATGTTTAGCCTAAAAGGTCACAACTTTTTAATACGACTTTACCTTTTTTGCTCAAAGTTTCTGAATTTATTAAATATTCCTGGCCAGTAAAATGCACAACAGCATACTAAAAGATGCATAGTGAGGCACCTGGGTAGCACAGTCAGTTAAGCATCTGGCTCTTGATTTTGGCTCAGGTCATGATCTCACGGTTCGTGAGATCAAGCCCTGGGTCTGGCTCTGCACTGACAGCATGGAGCCTGCTTAGGATTCTCTCTCTCCCTCTCTCTCTGCTTCTCCCCAGCTTGTGAGCTCTGTCTCGCTCTCAAAATAAATAAATAAACAACAAAAACAACTAACTAACTAAATAAAAGATGCATAGCAAGAGGGAGATTTCAAAATTTCCTTGTGTGTATCTCTCAGAAAAATGTAATACTATGATGACCAAAAAAGCAAGTAAAGAGTCAATACATAATTTATTTCACTAACTTTGTCCCACTACACTAGAATAATGGAATTCTCCCAAATGGAACAAGTGGATTGGCGTAGGTAAAAGCTAAGAACTCTCCAAAGTAATGACACAGGAGGAAAACAGACTAACATGTGAACTGAATCAGCGGAAGGTCAAAGAGAAAAACCAGGCTCCAGAAGCTACTACATGTAGTTGCCTACCTTGTTCTTCCAGAAGGACTCGCACAGCTGAGTTTTCCTCTACTCTTTTTCTGGCAGCTGCTTCTTCTTCTTTTGACCACTGCATGTGATCCCTACCAAAAAATGAAAAGGTTGTAAAACCTGCTTTATAATTGAAATCAGAAAGAGAGTGACAAAGGATACATCTTTCATTCTAGCAGAGTCAAAGACAAATGATACAAACTAATTCTGTGTTGAATGAATATATTTTGTGTCAGATGTTTCTTCTGATAGTGCTGGTACAATCCTGGAACTCCTATAGCTCTTCTGTTTAAATCTGGCTGTGTTGCAAGCCCCAGCCACCTTTTGGAAATGACTGCGAAGTAATGTCCCAGGAGCACTATGGTGCATGATTATTTGAGTACTAGTATGGTTTGCTCTATTTTACTCTAAGGCTAAATTTATTTGCCCTTTTGTTTATGAATATGGCATTCTTTAACAGTTTTAAAATCTCTTTCATAATAATTGTATTCTAATACTTCACTGTCAAAGAGATATAAGTTTTAAAATATTTTGCACTTACCTTCAGTCTTTTAAGTAATTTTATATTTTTATTAGTTGCCTTAATTTCTGTAAATGGATTCTTTTACATTTAAATGATAGAATAATTCACATAGTATATAAGAAGGTCAGCTTTTCAAGATCTTGTACTTTTTATAAGTACTTTCAGTTTCAGAATTTATACTTCCTATATGAGAAGATATTTTCCGCTGCTAAAATGTTTTCATGGAATAGAAGCAACATCTTTATACACAAAAGGTGAGTTTTTTGGGTTTTTTTGGTTTTTTTTGTTTTTGTTTTTTTGTTTGGTTTTTACAAAGTTTGCAATGCCTTTTTCTCAATTGGTAAGGCTATGAATGAGTGATGTAATTTTCAGGAATAAACCGTTTTTCTAAACAACAAAGAAACTACATATCTAAAATTCAAGTTCCATGTAGCTTATTGATAATTGTAAGAAAAATTAACATTAATATCATATGATATTTGTAGCTACCTCATTGATTGTAAAGGGGCAAAATATCAACATTTTGACATGCATCATAATGGTGGCTGATAAACATTAACTGAGCACTTAGCCTGGTCATAATTATTATACTGATAAGCTACTATTATTTATTATGTGCTAAGCATTGTGCTAGTAAGCACATTACATACATATATGTCTTACTTAATTCTTTCAAAACCCTATGAGGGGGTTATAATCATGCTCATTTCTCATAAGAGGAAAGAGAAATTTAGTAACTTAATCAAGGTAAGATAGCCATTAAGTGACAGAACCAGAATTCAAATCCAAGTCCATCCTCTTGGCAAGTAAGTAGTCTATTAATGTCTACCAAGACAGTGGGGGATACTGAGAGATTTAAGACTTATCTTTGGCCATAATGGGGTTTATATTCTCCTGAAGCAGGCAGATTAACAGAAGTAAATGAGAATACAAGGTAGTCTACTTGGTTAGCATCTACTGTATGCAAATATAGCCAATTAATGCTAGCTGGGGCAAATAGGAAGGCTTGGGAGGGAGGGGAGTTTGAGCCCAGGTTAGAGGGAAAGGAGGTGGGGCAATTATTCATGTCATTATGAAGCTGGGAATATGGACAGTATATACAGGAAACAATAAAAAAATCCATTTTGATTGGTTCTCTTGGGTAACGGCAGATGAAGTTGGCAGCTGGGTCATGGTCAGATTTCAGAGGATCTTAAGTGTGAACAGGTTAGTAGTGTACAAGAGAAAATGACGTGGGGAGGTGGAAGGGAGACCAGTGAGAAGTCTGTTCAGTGGTCTAGGAATAATAAGTCCCAGGACTAAGGCAGTGGCAACAAACAGAAAGGCAGAGCAGAGGGAGAGACACCGACAAAACCTGTAGCTGTGACCTAGAGGTTAACTAGCTGCAGCGAGGAGAAGAACAACAGACTCAAGAATGATTCTAAGGTCTCAAACCTGAGTATTAATCAAGTAGGGGTAACCAAGACAGAATAAGGAGTTACTTTGGGTGGAATGATAAGCTTGGTCCTATTTTAAGTCATGTTTATGCAATCAGATATGAGAGGGTATATTCCAGTGACCTGGCTATAAATACACCACTGGAAGGTGAGAAACTGCTTTCCTTTAAATAGGATCAAAACTGGTATACTGAAATTCTCAAGAAAAGTAAATGATAATGCAAAAAAAATCAGAGTTCCAAAGATGAAAATTTAACCACTGTCGTTTCAAATAAAACCCAGTCATTCACAGCCTAAATAATCATTCAGCAGCTTTGTTCACATGCTTCAATGAATGAAATTAGAACAGATTTTTGTTTTGACTTAACGTATGTGAGCAATCACATACATAACTTGGAACTGGCAATTATACTTTATTTTCTGTATATATAAATCCATATAGAGCATTATTAAATGATAGTTATGATATTAAAGGCAACAGGTCATTTATTGAAAAAATAGGATTACTAAGGCTGGGTACAAGCTTCTCATCTATGAATTTCTACAGCATATAAGAAAGAAAATAGAACAATCCATTTCCCTGTAACAAAAATCAAGCTCTGAGACAATGAGAGTATATATGGTCTTTAGCTTTAAGCATTTGTTTTAAACTGTTAGTTTAACTTGCTTCTTCCTGAGTATTTAATAGATTTAGTTATTTCTTAAATTGCTCTAACTTCCTTACACTGTTCTTTATGTTGCTTCATTTTCTTAACTGCTAAGTGAGGGGAATATTATACCCTAAGCCCCGGCAGAACAGATTTTCCACTGTACAGTTACCAAATCCCCACAGAAACCTATAAAATGTTTCTACTGTATTTATGAGAACTTCCTCCAGACCTGCTGCTTTATGGCATTTCTTTATATTAGAAGAGTCTGATTCACATATACTAAAACCCAACAGACGGCAATAAGAACCATTCAGGTTTGTAAGTAATAAATACAATTACAATAGAATTTAAGCATAGAGACAAATAACAAACAAACTGAAAATAGTCAGGTATTACAACCACCATCATTAACAACAAAGGAAAAAAGTGTTCCATACTGTTTGACCTATGAATTGCGCTTCTGGGAATTTATTGTAATAAAGTAACTCAAAAGAACAGAGAAATACCTATAAAATGATATTCACTACAATACCAAATATAATAGCAAAAAATTGGAAATAATCTCAGTGACAGGGTAATGAAAAAAATATGGTAACTTAAAGGAATATTATCCAGATATTTAAAATTATAAATATAAAGTTTACATAGCAACATGGAAAAGTATTTATGACACATGAGGTTAAAACAGCAGATCCCAAAATTGTATATGTATTATAATCAGAACTAAATAAAGTTATAAAGATATTGGATGAATAAAAACAATTGTGTTCAAATAACAGAACTGAGATTACTGTTTTAAAATTTTCTTGGGGCACTTGGGTGGCTCAGTTGGTTAAGCATCCAACTACTGATAGTGGCTCAGGTCATGATCTTGCCCCACATCAGGCTCTGCACTGACAGTGCAGAACCTGCTTGAGATTCATCTCCCTCTTTCTTTGCTCTACTTGTGTGCTCTCCCTCTCTCTGTGTTTCTCTCCCAAAAATAAACAAACTTAAAAAAAGAGAGAGAGAGAATTAAGCAGAAAATACAAAATACATTTAACATTTTTCCTGGAAAGTTGAATTTGAGAAAAAGAAATCTCAAAAATAGGGGCACCTGGGTGGCTCAGTCGGTTGGGCATCTGACTTTGGCTCAGGTCATGATCTCATGAGTTTGTGAGTTCAAGCCCCACGTTGGGCTCTGTGCGGATAGAGCCTGCTTTGGATTCTGTGTCTCCCTCTCTCTCTGCCCCTCCCCACTCATGCGCTGTCTCTCTCCCTTCAGATATAAATAAACATTAAAAACATTAAAAAAAGAAATATCAAAAATAAAAGAATTTTTGAGTAATAAATTTTTACAATATGGCTGGTAGAATTTGTCTTATAATTTTGTGGTAGTCGTAAGTCTTATGACCTCAGTTCATGAATGTGCGTATGTCCATACTTCTTATTCCTTCTATATGTAAAGTGTAATCAAATGATGATTCCTTGCTTCAGCTTTAAGTTGATTGCAGTTAACAGTCTAAATAATTGTGTATTTGGTTTGGTTTGGAAAAGTTAAACACAGACACACACACACACATACACAGACCTCAATAATTTAGCTTGGGTACTAACATTTTTGAGGATCCTGCCTATTGAAAATTCTGCTGAATGTGGTGCCACTATTATAATTTTTTTTTTTCAACGTTTATTTATTTTTGGGACAGAGACAGAGCATGAACGGGGGAGGGGCAGAGAGAGAGAGAGGGAGACACAGAATCAGAAACAGGCTCCAGGCTCCGAGCCATCAGCTATCAGCCCAGAGCCTGACGCGGGGCTCGAACTCCCGGACCGCGAGATCGTGACCTGGTTGAAGTCGGACGCTCAACCGACTGCGCCACCCAGGCGCCCCTATTATAATTTTTAATAATCAGATATAAACTAAAGTACCCAGTATAAGCTATATGAATAGAATGCTCTTCTGTCTTTGTTACTTGTTGGTATATAAAAGCCTCATCATAAGACAAAATTTAAAGACAAATTTAACAAATTTATTAGGTGACTGGTGAATTAAAAATAAAATATTCTTAGGTAAAAAGGAAGAAATGGAGGGTATTAGTTTCAGCTTAAAATTATATTAATAATCCTTAATTCCATGACAAAATCATATGTATTGCAGTTATCATTATAATAATAATAGAAAATTTTCAAGAGAAAAAGTCTTTCCTTTCATTTAAATATTCTAACAGATTAATAGTTCTTAAGTTCCCTTCCTGTATTTGTATATATACATATACACAAACATTTTTCTATAAAGCTAAAAAAATCTTCATAATTATGACTTAAAATTGCTGAATAGGACTTGTAATTTTGGCCATGACAGAGTACGTAGTAATGGGCTTACCCTTCTACCATAAACAATGATAAAACTGGATAAAATATATGAAGGAATTGTTTTTAGGCACTGTATTACATCTCAGACAGTGCAAGACTGTGATCCCTAAGAGAAGAGAAACACAAAA